CCGACGCTGAAGACGGAACTTGCTACCGAAGGAAGCGGAATCATCAACCGAAACCGAGCCCGAAACGTGATCGCCCATTATCGATCTCCCCCGTTGTCCGCAGCACCAAACAAAAAACCCTAGGGGGGGAAGCACTGAGCGTTATCGTTACCACCCCACTTGGTTAAACTATTCCTCGGCGGGGGGGGAGGCGGCGGTGGGAGCAACGAACCCTCAGGAATCCTCCAGAATCCTTCAGTGGGACGCACAAAGACGTACTAGTGCTATACGTCCTCATTGGAGGCGCGCGTCCGACCTGAACATCTAGCATACGCGTGCTATAGTATATACTTTCCCGAGCGGTGTGGTCGGAAAGCGCCCGCCGCGACGCGTATACTATCAGATTTCTCGGTGCGCGCGTCGCCCCTGGGGGGACGACGCACACATAGCATTCGTGTTTTTAGGGGGGACGCCGATTCAGGAATTCCGCAAGAATTTGCGGGAATCCTTGAGGAATCGGGGGGGTCGATAATCGCAGTCCATGGTTCACCATTTCACGAATCAGCATGACTGCATTAGTTCATGCGCTTCGGATAAGGTCGGGGGGGAGGGCTTCCAGCTGATCAGCGGGAGGCCCAGTCAACATGCCGAGAAGAAATCCCAAATGCTTCGCCGCAATCGGCCTGGCGTCCCAGGCCCCAGAATGATCGGGCGTTGCTGAAGTGCCTTTGGCCCAAGGTGCCCCCAGGATTTCCAAGGAGGCCCCCTCGGCATCCAGAGACCCCTCACGAGGCCCAGAGGGCCTCCTGGGGCTCAAAGACCGTAGAAGCAGAAACAACGGAACAAACATAAACGTTGTGCTCCGCGCGGATTTCTTGGATCTGCGCGGAGCGCGCCAGGGGCGGCGCCGGAAGCGCAGCCAGGGGCAACATGCTCCAACATGTTCAGGAAAAAAGAATGAAAATCGTCCCCAGAGTATTTGTTTGACTGTTGTTGTAAATTCCTCCTGTAGAGGGACGTGCCCGACTTAGAATTATCGGGGGGTCGGGGTGTTTTTCCTCCCTTGACCCTGGGCGCCTTGTACTGCTGTATCCACTCGCGCCTTGCCTGGTAGTAGTCCCACTGCCGGGTGCTGTGGCGCCACTTCAGCTCCTTGCGGTGCCAGAACCGGGATCTCCCGCAGAGGTAGGGCGCCCACTCCTTGATTGCCTGGGGCCCCACGCGGCCCTGGGTGAGCGCGAGGCGCATGTCTGATGCCATGCTGCGAGGCACCTTGTTGAACACGTACACGCGGTGGAAGAACTCCTCCAAGGGCATCTGGCGCACCCGGACCATGAAGTAGTTCCGGGGGCGATTCAGTATGCCGAAGCTGGCCTTGGAGCCCTTGCGCAAATTCTTGACAAAAGGTCCTCGCTGAGGCTGCGCATCAAATATGTAAGTCCGCGCTATGTCCCACTTATGTCGCTCTCGACACTCCTCCACAGCGCGCTTGAGCGTCTTTAATATTGGCTCCGACTGCATCCGGCTCAATGACTCCACCCAATCTATCGCATCCGTCAACTGCCGGCCACGGATGAGCTTGCAATACTCCAACATCTTTTTCATGTTGAGACGGATGTCCTTGTCTCGAAAGGCCAGCTGAGAGCCGTCCTCCTTGGGATAAAATATCGGTGCCTCCTCAGGGTCTATAGTCCTCGGCAACACGTGTCTCTTCCTCAACATTGCCTGTCGGGGGAAACTGATACTACCACTACCCCTACTCCTCAGACAACTCCTCGAGGGTGTGCTCTGACCAAGTGTTCGAAACGCGTCCAGCGGCGGCGAGGAGGGCCCGGGAAGCCCAAACGGGTGGCGGTATCGGAGTTTCCCCCCCCTGCTGGGCCTTCTTTCTGTCGTCGATCAGCCGCACGCGCCAGGGCAGCCAGTTCTTCCGCGGCCAGAAGAAGCCCCGCGCGGAGCCCGCGCACGGGTGCAGCCACGGAGGCGCAGCAACCACGGCGCTGGGGCCGCGGTCGGGCGGGCCGCCCCAAGGGGGGCCCGGCAGGGGCAGAGCCACGAACCCGACTCCTCCTCCTCCTCCTCCGTCCTCCTCCTCCTCCTCCTCCTCCTCCTCCTCCTCCGCCCTCCGCCCTCCGCCCTCCTCCTCCTCCCTCCCTCCCCTCCTCCTCCTCCTCCTCCTCCTCCTCCTCCTCCTCCTCCTCTCCTCCTCCCTCCTCCCTCCTCCCTCCTCCTCCTCCTCCTCCTCCCTCCTCCTCCTCCTCCTCCTCCTTCCCTCCCCTCCTCCTCCTCCCCTCCCCTCCTCCTCCTCATCCTCCTCCTCCTCATTCCTCCTCCTCCTCCTCCTCCTCCTCCTCCTCCTCCCTCCTTCTCCTCATCTCATCCTCCTCATCCTCATCCTCATCCTCATCCTCATCCTCATCCTCATCCTCATCTCATCCTATCCTCATCTCATCCTCATCCTCATCCTCATCCTCATCCTCATCCCTCATCCTCCTCCTTCCTCCCTCCTCATCCTCATCCTCATCATCATCATCACACATCATCATCATCATCATCAGCATCATCATCATCATCAGCATCATCCATCATCATCATCATCATCATCATCATCATCATCATCATCATCATCATCATCATCATCATCATCATCATCATCATCATCATCATCATCATCATCATCCCCCTGGGCCGCCTATAGATCTGCGCGCCGCGCCACGCGAGGCACGGCTTCTGAGAGGGAGTCATGAGTTTGGCGCAGTTGGGTCCACGGAGAGAGGTGCAACAGCTACTGAAATAGTTGGCGACTTGATGCATCAGCTCGCGCGCAGGATGCCAAAGTTGCGGTGGGAGTGGGTGCGCATCCTTTTGTTAGTGCAGTTGTGGTTGTTGCCCCTGCAAGAGGTAGTGCCACCCCCCCACCCCCGCCCGCAAGTGTTGCGCACCACTGCACGCAATACACCACACACACACACACACACACCCGAGGAGCGATTGCAGCACTCGCCGCCGACCCATCTGCGCAGGGCCACATGCTCTGGCTCAGCACTGCGAGGGGTCAAAGCCTGTGGCCCCCCCCTGACGGTGGCTCCTGGTGCTCGGGTCTGGAGGCCTCCTAGATGGGGTCCGAGTAGCTGGGGTCGAAGGATCGCGCCGCATCGCCAATGCATCGCCGATGTATCGGCGATGCATCAGCGACGTCGGCGACGCATCCGCGACGTCGGCGTGGGGAAAATCGGTCTCCACATCGAGCCCCATCGTCGATGCATCGGCGATGCGGCGCGATCCTCCGACCCCACCTACTCGGACCCCATCTAGGAGGCCTAGAGGGTCACGACTCGGCTCTGCAGCGGCCGCCCGGGACGCTCCGAGGCCCCCCCCACCCCCCCCGACGCCTCTCGGCGAGGCCCGGCCGCTGGCACGCGCCCCGAGGCCGGAAAGCCGCCGAGGGCCGACGAAAAACGCTCGCAGACAGCTCTCTCTCTCTCTCTATCCCTGACGACCTACCAGACCACCCAAACCCAACCCGACGGCCCGGGGAGGAGTGGGGCGGGCTTCAAACGCATGTTTTCAATGGTCCCCGACCCCTCGCCCCCCCACTGGAGATGAAGGGCAAATCGGCACGTCCCAGTGCTCGCAAAGTCACTGCTCCCGAATGGCCTGGATCCACCGCGGGGATCCACGATGCAGCACATCGAGGCAAACATATGGATTTTTCGAACGTTTGCGAGTAGGCACGTGGCGAGTGCAACGCGCTCGATGAAAGAAAGCGGAGCGCCCTCCGAAATTAACGTGGGCCTCATCACAAAGCTCTGAGTGAGCGGGACCCCGTGGGTCGGGGGACGTCAACAGTCCACCTTATCCCAAAAATTGACAAGCCCAAGGCGATGACAATCTCAGTGATGTGCCCTCAGGAACTGGCCGAAGCCTTGTGATCGGCATCGCGAGGAAGTGATGCAAACCTTAGGGGTGGTGCTAAGCTTCAGGCTGGACATATCCTGGGCAGGATGATCCTGTGCCCAGGCTTGGATGACCGCGGTGGCTGCTAAGGGGATAGAGGATAGAGGGTTATACATGAATGCGACTGTGAATAAGGTCTGGCGTAACCTCGGTTTGTAAGTTGCAACTGCCCTAGGCGGCTTACGGGTAACCGAGATCTGGGCTGAGTGAGAGAAGCCCACGTATCAGAGGGACCTGATCCTCTGAAGTAGATTAGGGATTAGGGGATGTGTAACCTACTTATGAGCTAGCTCTGGCAAGATATGACATACCTTAGCATCCCCTTCAAACCCCTTTATTCCCTTAACAACCCCCGTGATCATCCAAAGCTGTTCTCGGCATCCCGGAGCGGCGGCCCTCGTTTCCGGGGAAGCCCGTGCGGAGCAGCGGGGAACCTGGGAGATCTTGCAAACCTTGGAACGCAACATCATCATAACCTCTTGTTCCTCTGACTAGAGGAATCCTAGATGAGGTCCGAGTAATTAGACGAGGTCGGAGGAATGCACCGCATCGCCGATGTGTCGCCGCTGCATCGGCGATGCAGCAGCAGTGCGTCGTCGACGTCGACGTGGAGCAGAACGGGCTCCACATCGAGCCGCATCGCCGATGCGTCGATGCGGCGCCATCCTCCGACCACACCCGCTCCGACCCCACCTGTGAGGCCTGGGACGAGCTGCCCCGGGGGCGGCCAGCCGAACCGCGGCGCTCGGCACAGCGGCGACCCGCAGAGGCGGCGGCGCAGAGCAGCGCGAGCCCTGAGCATCGTTCGACCGATCCCCGCCGGCCTGGCCTCGGCCCCTCTGGCGGCCCCCCCCTCCTCCACGAGAGGCATGGGGGGGCGCATGCCAAGGGGCCCAGGGACCCAGGGACACACAGAGAGATAGGCGCAGCTTCCCAGGCTTACCCACGGCTGCCTACATTGCCTGGGTCTTCAGCTGCCCCCCCACTTCTCATATGTTCCAACGTTTTCCTGGGCGTCGACGATCAGTTGTGTGTCTGTCTCCCCCCTCCCGGACGTGCTGTCCCCTCTGGGCCTCGAGGGGCCCACCCCCAACCAGCGGGGGGGAGGGCCGGTGGAGCGGAGAGGCAGCGCTCAGCATACGCACGCGAGAAGATGCCCTGCTGCAAGAGATCTGGGGACGTGCACGTCCTCGAGCTCTGCGCTCCCTGAGGTGCCCCGAAACTCCAAAGGGCACCCAAGATCAATCAGGGGGGCAGCTACTGCGAGATCTTCGTCGGAAGGACTAGGGAGACTCGGGCCCCATTCGGGGGCTGCTACGCCGGATTAGGCCGCGGATTAAGCAAGATTCAACGGGATTAAGCCACATTAAATTGGATCAGTGAGGCGGGATTAAACTGGATTCAGCCTGATTTCGGACCAAAGCAAAATCAGAATTTGACCTCCCATGAAATGCATCCGGACGAAGGGCACCCGGGGATGAAACACTTGAATGAGGGCACCTGCTGGCAGGCCGGTCTCGTCTTTGCCGTGCCTATCCAGGAGATCCGCTGCTGCACCAAGAGCACAACATCGCGAAAAATCACGAACCCAGACCCCCGGCGTCGTGATTTGTTCATTACGTCGACCCCCAGAGGTCGGGACCCCTTCCCTGGGACTTGAGGATCATCCTGAATCGTGTTTTGACGGCCCCGCGGCCTAGGAAGGGCTCCTGGCCCCGACCTTCCAGAGTGCTAAAAAATAGCAATCCAGCCCTATAGACCGATCTGGACTGCCTCAAACCTCAACAGGAATTAGAACGTCGACGTCCTGGTCATTGTTTGGCCCTCCTGGAAGGTCAGGGGGAGGCCAAATCAGGGAGAGGCCAAACATAGAGAAACATCTCCTGTCGCGATTTTTGTCATGACCCGAGGGGGTCTGGGAATGACGAACAACGCCAAAGAACCCCATCTCTCTGCTGCACTTTTCGAGCCGGATCGGTCCGTGGGGGCCCCCCGGCCCCCCCAAAAAAATCAGGCGACGACGCCCGGGGAGAATCAATTCCGACGCCCAGGGATCTCGACTTCCAAATACTGGTTCTTGAATTCTGTAAGCGAGACTGGTTTTTGAATTCAACAACGGCACCATCACCCACCCTCCATGTGTGCCGATACAGTTTCCAAACAGGTTTTTATCGACGCCAAACCTCGGGCGAAAACGCATTACACTTTGAATTCGAAGGCCAAGACAAGATATCGATACCGCCACTGCCCGAACCTCTCCAGGGGCGCGTTCTGGCCAGAATTCCGAGGCGAATCCAGCCACGGCGACGAGCTTCCAAGATGCCCCCCAAAAGGCCAGAAGGAGGCAAGCGGCATCGAGACCTTTTCCTCCTAGGTGATGGGGTTTGGCTACACGATGCTGACGCCCGTCCGCGCCGAGCAGCCCAGTGGGGATGGGGATGGAGATCGATCAGACGATGCTGAACTAAAACAGCAAGTCCTGAGGGAAACGGGTCCTGGACCCCCGGGTCGTCCCCCAGGACCAGCTCTTCATCCTGAGTCGTTCTCTCACGGTCCCGGGTGCCCGTTGAGGACTGCGGAAGCCCGAAAACTCAGGAATCTTAGGGACCCGTTTCCCTCAGGACCCGTTTCCCGAATGGCCACTCAAGGTGATCGATGGCAACTCACGGGAGCCTGCCATGCCATCTTGCTGGCTCTTGCGAATCGACGCTATCAGACGCTAATCGACACTATGTCGACGCTAATCGACATTATGTCGACGCGGCTCGACGCTAGTTAAATCCATGCGAATCGACGCGGAAACAGCGCTTCCCCTTCGATTACCAGACGGTAACGCACGCCAGTGTACTCTAGAGACGGAATGACGACGATACACAAGGCTCCAACGATTTGTAACCGACCTGCTGCACCATGGCCGAGAGGGGATAGGGATTGGCCAGACGATGCTGGAGTAGAGGAACAATCAGCTGCATAAACATAACTTTCGGAGCTCCGCGTGGATTTCTTGGATCTGCCCTGGACCCCTTCCCTGGCGCGAGGCGCACGCCAACGGCGTCGCCCCCAGAGCCGACCCAAGAAATTCGCACGGGCCATCGAACTTTGTTTATGCAGTTTTATCTTCGCCTGCTGTAGTACCATGGCCCAGTGGGGACGGGAATCGGCCAGACCATGCTGAAGCCCGCCTGTGCCGAGCAGCCCAGCAGGGCCTGCGCAGGATCGGCTCGCATCAAATCGACAATGCGTATCGAATCGACATGGGCATCAGACCAGGCTGCATCGGCAAGTGGTCGACATCGAATCGGATCTGTTGCGCCAAGATGCACAACAACACCATGCAAACATTGCGCGGCATCGGATCGTCGGAATATCGGGTCGGGGACCCACTCGGGGCCGGGGACCCACTGGCCTGGGTCTGTGCAAACCCGGGTCAGGAAGGCCTTGCAAAATTATGCAAAACCCTGCCATGTCCTGCAATCTAAGATCATGCGCGCAAGTCCGGGTCACTACACACCTGGCTCTGCAAGATCCTTCATAGGGAAAAAGGTCCTGGACCCCGGGGCCTTC